AGGGCGAGTGGCGCACGGGCGCTAGGGCGGGCGGCCGTCAGGGCGCTAGGGCGGGCGGCGCTCGGGCGCTAGGGCGGGCGGCGCTCGGGCGCTAGGGCGGGCGGCCGTCAGGGCGCTAGGTCGGGCGGCGCTCGGGCGCTAGGGCGGGCGGCGCTCGGGCGCTAGGGCGGGCGGCCGTCAGGGCGCTAGGGCGGGCGGCCGTCAGGGCGCTAGGGCGGGCGGCGTTCGGGCGCTAGAGCGGGCGGCCGTCAGGGCACTAGGGCGGGCGGCCGTCAGGGCGCAAGGGCGGCGGCGCTTGGGCGCTAGGGCGGGCGGCCTTCAGAGCATTAGGGCAGATCGAAAAAAAAGAGGTACTAGGGCCCGGAGCGCGCTCCGGGCAGGAAAAAAAAAGGTTAAGAGGTAGCGGTGGTGGGCCCTACGAACAGTTCCCACAAGGGAACCTGCTCGATACCATGTGAGAATAAGCGAACAGGAATGAATGAACTAGCAGTGAAATGAGTACAAGTAGGAAACCCTAGAATTGTGTACCCCCTATAGGCTAACCCACTGTAGCCTACACAAGCATAACATATATAATGTTTGACAGCTGCGACTGCTGCGAAGTCGTCGAAGCAGGAATGTTCATGGTCGAGAGGAGCCGCGTAACGCGCTGCAGTTCGTTTCACATCTGCTCGTTCTCCAATCGCGACCGTTCAGTCGTCGCTCGCATCTCCGCTTCCATCTTGGCGATTTGCGCGAAGAGCTGCTGCGTAACGTCGTTGGTCGCCGGCGAACCCATCCTGCTCAAAAACCACGCGAGGGGGTTAATTCGAAAAGCGCGGAACTGGTACTTACCAGAATTCGGCGTCGAATTGGTCGCCCCCGGTGGTTTTTCGAGGCGATTTTTTCCGCGACCGCTGCTTAGCCGAGAGTTGTCGAGTGAGAACGGCTCTGATTACCAAGTGTCACAGGATCGAATTCTCAATCGAAACTTGTCACTAAAACTGAATACAAGGCCTATTTATACTCAGAAAGTACAAGGATAAACGAAGTAAAACGAACCTTCGGGAACACACCCTTCCCGATACTACAATCACAAGTGTGCATAAGCACGCAAGTCTATTGGCACTTGGGATTACGCCCAGATTACACCGTATACACCACTGTCGGCGCTGTCGGTGCCGTATAATAGGTATGTCGGTGGGAAAAGTAGGAAATAAGAGAAATAAATAGAAGGCTCTAGAAAATAGAATAGTAGGCCGATTGAGATGAGATAAAGACCAAAATAAAGAGGAGAAAAGGGAGAATAGGATAACGGAAAAATATAATAGTGAGAAAATATTATAACGGGGACGTCCTCTCACACCTGGTGCAGCCGCCCCTGGACCCCGTGACGCCGCCCCTAGACCCCGTGCAGCCGCCCGCCGAGCGCCGGCCCTGCTCGCCCGGCGAGCGCCGGCCCTTCCCACCACTGGTGAGCACCTGCCTTGTTCACGCACTGCCGCGCCCTCAGCCTGCCTGCCTGTCTACCTGCCTGCCTGCCCGCCTGCCTGCCTGCCTGCCTGCCTGCCGCACCTGCCGCACTTGCCGCACCTGCCCTGCCCGCGCTGCTGCTGCTACTACTGCTACTGCTGCTAGTGGCGGTGGCCAGATGCAGCTCCAGCGACGTCCACGTGAGTCCCTCACGCCCCAGCAGCTTTGTGAGTGGTACGCGGGTTGGGGTTGTAGGGGTGGCCGCGCTACTACTGCTGCTACTGCTGTTGCTGCTGCTACTGCTGTTACTGCTGCTACTGCTGCTAATCCTGCTACTGCTGCTACTGGCGGTGGCCAGATGCAGCTCCAGCGACGTCCGCGCGAGTCTCTCGCACCCCAGCAGCTTCATGAGTGGTACGCTCAGAGTAGAGGGTCTCTGAGTACCGTTCGCTGCCCGTACATCATTCGCACAGGTGTTCGGACTAGTCAGGCTTGCGGGACACTTAGTCACACACAGTCCCGCTGCTTCGCCCGTCTGAGCGACGCTTGGCGTACCGAGTTTGGCGACGAGGCTGAGCTCCCCACCTGGCTGGAGCTACTTGGACAGGGGGTAGATGTCTTTGCTCTTGACTATGATGCTATTCTCACTGCCATGTATGCATTGCCTACTAGTGCTGACCGAGCCTATTACCTGTGCGTACCGCCTGACCCAGGTATAGAGTCTGCTGCTCTAGGTGTTGGTGAGGCTATTGCTCTAGGTGCTGGTGAGGCTACTGCTCCAGGTGCTGGTGAGTCTGCTCTCTCTGGTATTGCACCTGCTGAGGCCTTGTACACCTTCACACTTGACTCCGGTGCCTCTCGCTCCTTCTTTCGCAACAGCACCACCCTTACGCCGCTCAGTCGGCCGGTTGCAGTCTCCTTGGCAGACCCCTCTGGGGATCCAGTCCGTGCGACCTCCACCACTGTCCTCCCTTGTCCTGCTGTCCCGTCGGGCACACTGTCGGGTCTTTACCTCCCCTCGTTCTCTACGAACTTGGTGGCGGGTTCTGCGCTCCAGGACGCGGGTGTTCACCAGTTCACCCCTGCCTACGAGCGTATGACACACTCCACGTGTGCTCAGACGGGTCGTCACCTGGCTACCTTCACTCGGCAGCCGGGGTCGGGCCTGTACACACTGACCACTGAGTCCCTTCAGGTAGCTGCGTCTGCGTCTGCGTCAGGTCAGTTGTCGGTCCCCTACTCGTGTCGCGCCTTGTCGCACCAGACCCTCCTTTGGCACCACCGCCTTGGTCACCCCTCGGTGCAGCGCCTTCGCAGCATGCATCGCCGTGTCCTTGTCTCCGGTCTTCCACGGGTTCTCCCTCCCCTCCCACCCTCGCCTGCTCCTCCCTGTCTTCCCTGTGTCGAGGGGCGGCAGCGCGCCGCTCCTCACTCCTCCTCGTTCCCTCCCACAGAGGCTCCCCTGCAGACTCTCCACCTGGACGTGTGGGGCCTAGCCCACGAGCGGTACTTCCTGCTGGTCGTCGACGACTACACGCGTTACACCACGGTCTTCCCCTTGCGCAACCAAGGGTGAGGTCCCTTGGATCTGCACAGCAAGCGTCCCATGCAGCACAGCAAGCCGTCCAAGCAGCAGAGCCACACCCCGCTGCCCCAGCAGAGCCAGCAACGTCCGCCACTCCTACTGCGACCACTTCCCCCCTGCATCTTCTACAGCCTGTGGTGAGTGAGTAAGTGAGTGAATGAGAGAGTGAGTGAGTGAGTGAGTGAGTGCTGAGGAGGGCTGGCACTGGCATTGGCACTGAAAGCGTGCCTTGCAGCACAGCAAGCTGTCCAAGCAGCATAGCAAGCTGTCCAAGCAGCACAGCAAGCTGTCCAAGCAGCACAGCAAGCTGTCCAAGCAGCACAGCAAGCTGTCCAAGCAGCACAGCCACACCCCGCTGCCCCAGCAGAGCCAGATGCGCATGCTGCATGGCAAGCAACCGCCCCTGCCTCTGCTGCGACCCCACCATCCTTGCTTCACGTGTTACAGCCAGTGGTGGTGAGTGAGTGAGTGGGTGGGTGAGTGAGAGGCGCATGCTGCAAGGCAAGCAACCACCCCTGCCTCTTCCCTGCCTCGACCCCATCGTCCTCGCTTCACGTGCTGCAGCCGGTGGTGAGTGAGTGAGTGGGTGAGTGAGTGGTGGTTGGGTGAGTGGGTGGATTGAGTGAGTGAGTGAGTGAGTGAGTGAATGTGTGAGTGAGTGAGTGTTGAGGGGGGCTAGTACTAGCACTGGCATTGCAAGCGTCCCATGCAGCACAGGCACAGCAAGCCTTCCCATTCCAAGCAGCAGAGCCACACCCCACTGCCCCAGCTGAGCCAGATGCGCATGCTGCACGGCAAGCAACCACCCCTGCCTCTGCCTCTGCCTCTGCCTCGACCCGACCGTCCTCGCTTCACGTGCTACAGCCTGTGGTAAGTGAACGAGTGCGTCTGTGTGTAGGTGAGTGGGTGGTGAGTGAGTGACTTAATGATAGAATTGAGTGTTAGTGAGCTGGTGGGTGGGTGGTGAGAGCTGAGGATAAGTGGGTAATCCTTACCTGTCCTTACTTCCACCCCTCTTGTTCGTTGCTTCCTTCACTCCACCTCCCCATTTCTCACTCTCCTCTCACCACTTCACCCCCCTCTCCTTTTCCGCCCCCCTCTCCACCTCTCTCCCCCTCCCTCCCTCCCTCCCTGCTCTTTTCCTCCCCCGAACCGTTCCATACCTGGCCCCCACGTGGAGCAACAGCTGCCAGGTGTCAACATGCCATTGGCCGATCTCGGGTACCTCTTTATAGCCACGCTTATCAGCCTAGCATGGCATGAGGCAGGGCACGCCGTAGCTGCTGCCGTGTGAGTGTAAGTGTCGTGGGAGTGTGTGTGTGTGTGTGTGTGTGTGTGTGTGGTGTATCTAGTGGTGTGATAATACATGCTAACATAGGGGGCTGCTTATCAGCCTGGCGTGGCACGAAACAGGCCATTCTGTTGCTGCTGTTGTGTAAGTGTAAGTGTCATATGTGTGTGTGTGATTCTGGGTTTTTTAGGCGCCTCAAAAGTCATATGCGCGTGTGATTCTGGGTTTTTTAGGCGCCTCAGAAGTTGTCATGTGCGCGTGTGATTCTGGGTTTTTTAGGCGCCTCAGATGTTGTCATATGCGCGTGTGATTCTGGGTTGAAGTGTGGCTGTGTGAGTCGCCTCAAGTCAGCTTGTGCGTGGGAGTGTGGAGTTGTCCGCATGAGTGCAAGCTGTCATGCTTGAATGTCACACGAGTGTGGGAGGGAGTGCGAGTGCAGCATGATGTGGCATGTGTCCTCCTCGCCCTGCTCCTTAATCTGTTGTAACTCTTCCAATCCCTTCACCCCAACCCCCCCTCCCTCCCGCACATTTGTCCACCCCTGTCGGCTACCCACAGAGAGGGCGTGAGGGTGCAGCACGTGGCGTGCTCCTCCTCGCGCTGCTGCTCCCCAGTCTCTTCCCCCTGCCAACCCATTTCTTTCCCCACGTCTCGTCTCACTACAGGGAGGGAATGCTCCCCGGAGTCCACGTCGCCTTCCATCCCTCTTGTAGCTCACTTTCCTGTTTTCCCCTCTCCCCTCCCTCCTCCCCCGCTCCCCATCCAGAGAGGGAGTGCGAGTGCAGCACGTGGCATGCTTCCTCCTCGCTCTGCTGCTCCCCGGAGCACACGTGGCCTTCCATCCCGCCGACTTCCACGCCCTGCCTCCCTTTCGCCTGCTGCGAATCCTCTCTGCCGGCATATGGCACAACATGGTGGTGAGTGCTGGCATATGGCACAACATGGTGGTGAGTGCTGGCATATGGCACAACATGGTGGTGAGTGCTGGCATATGGCACAACATGGTGGTGAGTGCTGGCATATGACACAACATGGTGGTGAGTGCTGGCATATGGCACAACATGGTGGTGAGTGCTGGCATATGGCACAACATGGTGGTGAGTGCTGGCATATGGCACAACGTGGTGGTGAGTGCTGGCATATGGCACAACATGGTGGTGAGTGCTGGCATATGGCACAACGTGGTGGTGAGTGCTGGCATATGGCACAACGTGGTGGTGAGTGCTGGCATATGGCACAACGTGGTGGTGAGTGCTGGCATATGGCACAACGTGGTGGTGAGTGCTGGCATATGGCACAACGTGGTGGTGAGTGCTGGCATATGGCACAACGTGGTGGTGAGTGCTGGCATATGGCACAACGTGGTGGTGAGTGCTGGCATATGGCACAACGTGGTGGTGAGTGCTGGCATATGGCACAACGTGGTGGTGAGTGCTGGCATATGGCACAACGTGGTGGTGAGTGCTGGCATATGGCACAACGTGGTGGTGAGTGCTGGCATATGGCACAACGTGGTGGTGAGTGCTGGCATATGGCACAACGTGGTGGTGAGTGCTGGCATATGGCACAACGTGGTGGTGAGTGCTGGCATATGGCACAACGTGGTGGTGAGTGCTGGCATATGGCACAACGTGGTGGTGAGTGCTGGCATATGGCACAACGTGGTGGTGAGTGCTGGCATATGGCACAACGTGGTGGTGAGTGCTGGCATATGGCACAACATGGTGGTGAGTGCTGGCATATGGCACAACATGGTGGTGAGTGCTGGCATATGGCACAACATGGTGGTGAGTGCTGGCATATGGCACAACATGGTGGTGAGTGCTGGCATATGGCACAACATGGTGGTGAGTGCTGGCATATGGCACAACATGGTTGTGAGTGCTGGCATATGGCACAACATGGTGGTGAGTGCTGGCATATGGCACAACATGGTGGTGAGTGCTGGCATATGACACAACATGGTGGTGAGTGCTGGCATATGGCACAACATGGTGGTGAGTGCTGGCATATGGCACAACATGGTGGTGAGTGCTGGCATATGGCACAACGTGGTGGTGAGTGCTGGCATATGGCACAACGTGGTGGTGAGTGCTGGCATATGGCACAACGTGGTGGTGAGTGCTGGCATATGGCACAACGTGGTGGTGAGTGCTGGCATATGGCACAACGTGGTGGTGAGTGCTGGCATATGGCACAACGTGGTGGTGAGTGCTGGCATATGGCACAACGTGGTGGTGAGTGCTGGCATATGGCACAACGTGGTGGTGAGTGCTGGCATATGGCACAACGTGGTGGTGAGTGCTGGCATATGGCACAACGTGGTGGTGAGTGCTGGCATATGGCACAACGTGGTGGTGAGTGCTGGCATATGGCACAACATGGTGGTGAGTGCTGGCATATGGCACAACATGGAGGTGAGTGCTGGCATATGGCACAACATGGTGGTGAGTGCTGGCATATGGCACAACATGGTGGTGAGTGCTGGCATATGGCACAACATGGTGGTGAGTGCTGGCATATGGCACAACATGGTGGTGAGTGCTGGCATATGGCACAACATGGTGGTGAGTGCTGGCATATGGCACAACATGGTGGTGAGTGCTGGCATATGGCACAACATGGTGGTGAGTGCTGGCATATGGCACAACATGGTGGTGAGTGCTGGCATATGGCACAACATGGTGGTGAGTGCTGGCATATGACACAACATGGTGGTGAGTGCTGGCATATGGCACAACATGGTGGTGAGTGCTGGCATATGGCACAACATGGTGGTGAGTGCTGGCATATGGCACAACATGGTGGTGAGTGCTGGCATATGGCACAACATGGTGGTGAGTGCTGGCATATGGCACAACGTGGTGGTGAGTGCTGGCATTTGGCACAACGTGGTGGTGAGTGCTGGCATATGGCACAACGTGGTGGTGAGTGCTGGCATATGGCACAACGTGGTGGTGAGTGCTGGCATATGGCACAACGTGGTGGTGAGTGCTGGCATATGGCACAACGTGGTGGTGAGTGCTGGCATATGGCACAACGTGGTGGTGAGTGCTGGCATATGGCACAACGTGGTGGTGAGTGCTGGCATATGGCACAACGTGGTGGTGAGTGCTGGCATATGGCACAACGTGGTGGTGAGTGCTGGCATATGGCACAACGTGGTGGTGAGTGCTGGCATATGGCACAACGTGGTGGTGAGTGCTGGCATATGGCACAACGTGGTGGTGAGTGCTGGCATATGGCACAACGTGGTGGTGAGTGCTGGCATATGGCACAACGTGGTGGTGAGTGCTGGCATATGGCACAACGTGGTGGTGAGTGCTGGCATATGGCACAACGTGGTGGTGAGTGCTGGCATATGGCACAACGTGGTGGTGAGTGCTGGCATATGGCACAACGTGGTGGTGAGTGCTGGCATATGGCACAACGTGGTGGTGAGTGCTGGCATATGGCACAACGTGGTGGTGAGTGCTGGCATATGGCACAACGTGGTGGTGAGTGCTGGCATATGGCACAACGTGGTGGTGAGTGCTGGCATATGGCACAACGTGGTGGTGAGTGCTGGCATATGGCACAACGTGGTGGTGAGTGCTGGCATATGGCACAACGTGGTGGTGAGTGCTGGCATATGGCACAACGTGGTGGTGAGTGCTGGCATATGGCACAACGTGGTGGTGAGTGCTGGCATATGGCACAACGTGGTGGTGAGTGCTGGCATATGGCACAACGTGGTGGTGAGTGCTGGCATATGGCACAACGTGGTGGTGAGTGCTGGCATATGGCACAACGTGGTGGTGAGTGCTGGCATATGGCACAACGTGGTGGTGAGTGCTGGCATATGGCACAACGTGGTGGTGAGTGCTGGCATATGGCACAACGTGGTGGTGAGTGCTGGCATATGGCACAACGTGGTGGTGAGTGCTGGCATATGGCACAACGTGGTGGTGAGTGCTGGCATATGGCACAACGTGGTGGTGAGTGCTGGCATATGGCACAACGTGGTGGTGAGTGCTGGCATATGGCACAACGTGGTGGTGAGTGCTGGCATATGGCACAACGTGGTGGTGAGTGCTGGCATATGGCACAACGTGGTGGTGAGTGCTGGCATATGGCACAACGTGGTGGTGAGTGCTGGCATATGGCACAACGTGGTGGTGAGTGCTGGCATATGGCACAACGTGGTGGTGAGTGCTGGCATATGGCACAACGTGGTGGTGAGTGCTGGCATATGGCACAACGTGGTGGTGAGTGCTGGCATATGGCACAACGTGGTGGTGAGTGCTGGCATATGGCACAACGTGGTGGTGAGTGCTGGCATATGGCACAACGTGGTGGTGAGTGCTGGCATATGGCACAACGTGGTGGTGAGTGCTGGCATATGGCACAACGTGGTGGTGAGTGCTGGCATATGGCACAACGTGGTGGTGAGTGCTGGCATATGGCACAACGTGGTGGTGAGTGCTGGCATATGGCACAACGTGGTGGTGAGTGCTGGCATATGGCACAACGTGGTGGTGAGTGCTGGCATATGGCACAACGTGGTGGTGAGTGCTGGCATATGGCACAACATGGTGGTGAGTGCTGGCATATGGCACAACATGGTGGTGAGTGCTGGCATATGGCACAACATGGTGGTGAGTGCTGGCATATGGCACAACATGGTGGTGAGTGCTGGCATATGGCACAACATGGTGGTGAGTGCTGGCATATGGCACAACATGGTGGTGAGTGCTGGCATATGGCACAACATGGTGGTGAGTGCTGGCATATGGCACAACATGGTGGTGAGTGCTGGCATATGGCACAACATGGTGGTGAGTGCTGGCATATGGCACAACATGGTGGTGAGTGCTGGCATATGGCACAACATGGTGGTGAGTGCTGGCATATGGCACAACATGGTGGTGAGTGCTGGCATATGGCACAACATGGTGGTGAGTGCTGGCATATGGCACAACATGGTGGTGAGTGCTGGCATATGGCACAACATGGTGGTGAGTGCTGGCATATGGCACAACATGGTGGTGAGTGCTGGCATATGGCACAACATGGTGGTGAGTGCTGGCATATGGCACAACATGGTGGTGAGTGCTGGCATATGGCACAACATGGTGGTGAGTGCTGGCATATGGCACAACATGGTGGTGAGTGCTGGCATATGGCACAACATGGTGGTGAGTGCTGGCATATGGCACAACATGGTGGTGAGTGCTGGCATATGGCACAACATGGTGGTGAGTGCTGGCATATGGCACAACATGGTGGTGAGTGCTGGCATATGGCACAACATGGTGGTGAGTGCTGGCATATGGCACAACATGGTGGTGAGTGCTGGCATATGGCACAACATGGTGGTGAGTGCTGGCATATGGCACAACATGGTGGTGAGTGTTGGCATATGGCACAACATGGTGGTGAGTGCTGGCATATGGCACAACATGGTGGTGAGTGCTGGCATATGGCACAACATGGTGGTGAGTGCTGGATGGCTATCCTTTCAGCCTCACGTCACATCATTGTGCCTCACATCTGCTCCCTCCTGCGAGCACATGTGGCCTTCCATCCCATCTTCTCTCTGCCTGCCTCCTGCCCGCCTGCTGAGAGTGCTTTCCGCCGGCACAGTGGCGCAACATCGTGGTGAGTCTTGTGCATTTCTGCAGTTTCTCCATCTTGCGTCCCCACCTCACCCTCACCCCGCTCGCCCCTCACCTTTCTGCTCCCCTTACCTCTCCCCTGCACCATCTCCCCACTCCCACCTATGCAGCTGTCTCTTCTTCTCCTCTCCTCTCCCCCTTTCTCCAAACCACGCTTTTCCTTCCTCTCTACCCCGTCTTATCCACCCTGTTCCCATCGTTCCCTTCCCATCTGATCCGGTCCCACTCCCACTTATGCAGCTGTCTCTGCTCGCTCTGCTGCTCCTATCCTCTCCCCTCCAAGCGGTCCTCTTCCTTCCCCTCTACTCCCAGTCACCACCAGGCCTTAAGGTACGCCCCTCCCTGCATGTCCCCTTCCTCCCCTCTCCTCTTCTCTCATATCCCCTCCTTCCGTTTCCTTCCCATCCAAGCACTGCTCTTCTTCCGCTCTACTCCCAGTCCCCCCCCAGGCCTCAAGGTACGTCCCTCCCCGTATGTCCCATTTCCCAGTAAAGAACGACTCTGCGTTTGCTTCAAGCCGTGTGCCTCAAGCCGTGTAACTCCACCATGCATTTCCCCCGTTATAGTCACATATGACATCCGTGTGTGGTTTCTTCCCACCCCACCCCCAGGTTACATCCGTGCATCCGCTCTCCCCTCTCTTCAGTCACATTCGCCCAGGAGACTCCTTACTAGCACTCGACCACACTCCGCTTTCCTCTCCTGCCGACTACACTCACCTCCTCTCCCATCTCTCCCACCTCTCCCACCTCTCCTACCCTCTGCCTCCTTCGATCCCTCCCTCACCTCCTTTCCGTGGGTATTGCATTTCCCACTCGGCCAATCACAAGCTGCCACCTGGATTCCTGACTCCTCCAGCCTTTCTAGCCAATGGTAGCATCCCACCAATAGCTTCATCTGGACCAATCCCCAGCTCTTTCCTAGAACCTTCCCACCAGCATCCTCATCATTCCAACATGGAGCCATTCCCACCACCTCGGCCAATCTCCTGTGATGCCTCGTTTCCTGGAACCATCCTTTTCCGGCAAGCTCCAGCTGGCGATGCGGAACCTTCCTCGCCGATTCCTGGCAGTGAACCGCACCAAGAGGAAGCTTCCGTTCAGTTTCCTGGTGATGAATCGCAGAACCAAGAAGAAGCTTCTCAGATGGTTCCTACTGCGGCATGTTTGCGTCCGAGAGAATTGGTGGAGGGAGGGAGGAGATGCGGATGGGGGTGGATGGGTGATGATGGGGAGGAGGAAGGGAAGGACGAGGGGAAGGAAGAAGGGAAGCAAGAGGGGAAGCAAGAGGGAAAGCAAGAGGGGAAGCAGCAGCGTCAATGCGATAAGGTGAGTGTGAGAGATCATTGAGATGGATACCCTCAGAAAAAGCACTGAGAGATATTCTCTGCCTGCTCCCTAAATGCGCGTCTCTCAGTGCCTCTGAAGGACGTGCTCCTAAGAGCAAGCTCGTTATTTCGGGGGGAAAGGGGGGGGGAATATGCTCTCCTCAGAACAAGCACTAGAGGACATGCATTTAGGGAGCAGCGTGACAAGGGGGGAGAAAATATGCTATCTGTTGTGTTTGAGTGGTTTGATTTTCTTTTCTTCTCTTCTCTTTTCTTTTCTTTTCTTTTCTTTTCTTTCCTTTTCTTTTCTTTTCTTTTCTTTTCTTTCCTTTTCTTTTCTTTTCTTTTCTGGCCTGTATGTCATGCCAAAACCATCTTCTGCTCCTTTGTTGCTCTTTGTGTGGCTTCAAATCTCTTTCTTCTCGACATCATCCCATCATCCTCCCTTCCCTTCACCCTTTGCCCATGGCCAGGTTTCCACCTGCATGCATGGCCCCTGCACTTTTCCATCACCATCTGCTGCTCCTAGTACGGTTTCAGAAATCTTTCTTCTCTTTCTCCTTGTTTTGTCCTTCCCTCACGGCCAGGGATCCGTCTGCATGGCCCCAGTCCTTCCTCATCACCATCTGCTGCTCCTAGTGCAGTTTCAGCCCTCCCCCTACTCACCCTCCTCCTCCTCGACCTCTTCCTCCTTTTCCAGTTCCTCTCCTTCCTCCTCCACTTCCTCCGCTCCCTCCTCTCTAGTGTTTGTGGGAACCATTGAGTCCGTTGCACAGGGCCTCTCTCTTTCCCCGTGGCATCCTCGCACACTCACTCTCCCTCTCACACTGCCTAACTGTCATATATATACTGCATAGCTGTTGTAGGCTATAGTGGGGTAGCACATATGGGGTACAGCTCTCTAGGGTTTGCATTTGTACCCAACTTTCACTTAGTCATTTCATTCCTGTTCTAGTATTCTCACATGGTATAGAGCGGGTTCCCTGTGGGAACTTCGCCTAGGGCCCACCGAAGCGCGCCCCGAGGCGCGCTAACCTTTTTTTTCCTCTCTCTCGAGCGACCCTCCGTGTCGCCCTTCCCTCGCGGCCCCGCTGCCCTCTCAGACGCGGCCCCGCCGCCCCTTTCGAACGCGGCCCCGCCGCCCCTTTCGAACGCGGCCCCGCCGCCATTTCAGACGCGGCCCCGCCGCCCACTTCGGACGCGGCCCCGCCCGCCCCTTCAGACGCGGCCCCGCCGCCCGCTCCGACGCGGCCCCGCTGCCTGCTCAGACGCGGCCCCGCAGCCTGCTCAGACGCGGCCCCGCCGCCTACTCAGCCGCGGCCCCGCTGCTGGCTTCGACGCGGCCCCGCCGCCCACTCGGACGCGGCCCCGCCGCCTGCTAAGCCGCGGCCCCGCCGCCCGCTACGAAGCGGCCCCGCCGCCTGCTCTGACGCGGCCCCGCCGCCTCCTCAGCCGCGGCCCCGTCGCCCACTCAGGCGCAGCCCCGCCGCCTGCTCAGCCGCGGCCCCGCCGCCTGCTGAGCCGCGGCCCCGCCGCCCTCCCCTCCGACGCGGCCCCGCCGCCTGCTCAGACGCGGCCCTGCCGCCCGTTCCGACGCGGCCCCGCCGCCGTCACTCGCGGCCACCCCGCCCTTGCGCGGCCCCGCCGCCTCCTACCTGCGGCTCTACGGCCGCCTCTACTGCGGCCCTTCGCCGTCCCTGCAACCCGGCCCAGCCGCCCCCTCCTCTCGAGCCGCCCAACTGCGGCAGCCGAGCCGCCCGCCTGCAGCAGCCGAGCCGCCCAACTGCGGCAGCCGAGCCGCCCGCCTGCAGCAGCCGAGCCGCCCACCTGCAGCAGCCGAGCCGCCGGACCACCGAGCAGCAGTGCACCCGAGCCGCCCTGCACCCGAGCCGCTCTGTCGCCGAGCCGCCCGGGAGCCGAGCCGCCCAGTAGCCGAGTCGCTGAGTCGCCGAGCCGCCCTTCTGCAGAGCTGCCCGACCTGCCCTGCCCGGTGAGCACAGTACCGCTGTCACTGCGTGCTCTTCCCCTACTGCTTGCACTGCTTCGCTGTCGTCGTCATGGCTACCCCTAGTGTCCTAGCTTTTGATGCTGAGGGTCGCGCCATTGACTTTGAGGTCTGGGTAGACGACCTGCAGTTGTTTTTACAGTGCGATAGGGCAGACGGCCTCTCTCTCTTTGACCTCACTTCTGGCGCCTCTCCTGCCCCTGCTGCTGATGCTGATCCCACTGTGCGCTCTCAGTGGGCCACCCGCGATGCTGCTGCACGTCTTGCTGTGCGTCGCCACCTCCCTACCTCTGAGCGCGCGCACTTTAGTCAGTACAAGAGTGCTCAGACCTTGTACGACGCTGTAGTTGCGCGCTACTCCTCCCCTGCCACTGCTGCACTGAGCCGTCTCATGCTTCCCTACCTCTTTCCTGACCTCTCTGCCTTTCCCACTGTTGCTGACCTCATTACGCACCTCCGCACTAGTGACACTCGCTACCGCGCCGCCCTTCCTGCTGAGTTCTGCGCTAAGAACCCCCCCCCCATGTACATCACTCTCTACTACGTAGTCGCGCGCCTCCCTGACTCCCTTCGCGTAGTCAGGGACCATTTTCTCGCAGTCTGTCCCACCACCCTCACCGTCGACGTCCTCGAGAAGGCCCTCCTCGCGGCGGAGAAGAGCATCGTCGCTGTAGGAGCTTCTCGTGGTGACCCTCGCACCCCCATCTTTGAGGGGTGCTCTCCTTCCCCCCTCCTGCCCTCTATTGCCTCTGCTGGTGCTGCCGACCTGCTTGGTCTCGAGTCGGTTGGCGCGGCGTCTTCCCCTAGTGGGAGACGCCGCTCTGGCAAGGGCAAGGGGGGCAAGGGCGCTGGTGGAGCTGGAGGGAACGGTGGAGGTGGCGGTGGAGGCGGCGGAGGGAGTGGGGGTGGCGGTGGTAGTGGTGGCAGCGGCGGAGGAGGCGGCGGTGGTGGCGGCGGCGGCGGTGGTGGCGGTAGTGGTGGCGGTGACGGTGGGGGAGGCGGTGGCGGAGGAGGCGGTGGTGGCGTAGGAGGTGGAGCTAGTCGAGGCGGTACCCAGCAGCGGAGCGGCGGTGGTGGTGGTCAGCGCTCGCAGCAGCAGCAGCAGCAGCGTTCGCGTGACGTCCCTCCGCCCCAGCAGCTCCGTGAGTGGTACACTCGACGTCAGAGGGGTGGGGGTACTGGTCCTTGTACCTACGTCCTTCGCTCTGGCGACCGCGCGGGTGAGCAGTGTGGGGGTGCCCACTCCACCCAGCGCTGCTTTGGCCGCGTGACGGACGCTTGGCGTCAGCAGTTCCCCGGGGCTAGTGAGATCCCTCGCTGGGATGAGCTTCTTAGAGCTGGTGTAGCGATCTTTGATCTTGATTTTGATGCTATCCTTGCTGCTATGTATACTGTGACTATTAGTGAGGAGGGTGACTGTTACCGGTGTTTCCCGCCTGACCCAGGCATTGGTACTGTTGCGCTAGGTGCTTGTGAGGCTGCTGCTCTAGGTGCCAGTGCGTCTGTTCTCTCAGGTGCTGGTGAGACTGCGCTCTCAGGTACTGTGTCGCCTCCGTCCTCCCTCACTTTCACACTTGACTCCGGGGCTTCTCGCTCCTTCTTTCGAGACCGCACTACCCTCATGCCGCTTGACCGGCCCGTTGCGGTCTCCCTGGCTGACCCCTCTGGGGGTCCTGTCCTCTCTCACTTCTCCACTGTCCTCCCGTGTCCGGCTGCCCCTTCGGGCACCCTGTCTGGTCTGTACCTTCCCTCGTTCTCTACGAACTTGGTGAGTGGCGCGGACCTGCAGGATGTGGGGGTTCACCAGTTCACTCCTGCGAGTCAGCGGGTGACCCACTGCACGGAGGCACGCACAGGCCGACACCTGGCCACGTTCTCGCGTCGGCCGGGGTCGAGCCTCTACACCCTGACCACTACGTCTCCTCCTGTCCCTGCGTCTGGTCAGGTAGCTGCGTCGGGTCAGGTGCTTGCTGCTGCGTCCCGGTCAGGTCCTGAGTCTGCCCCCTGTTCTTGTCGCCTCCTGTCTCACGAGACTCTCCTGTGGCACCACCGTCTTGGCCACCCCTCCTTGCCCCGTCTTCGGAGCATGGCTTCCCGTGTCCTTGTCTCTGGTCTTCCCCAGTCTCTCCCTCCCCTTCCCTCCGGGCCAGGACCTTCCTGTGTCCCCTGTGTCGAGGGGCGCCTCCGGGCTGCTCCTCACTCCTCCCAGTTCCCCCCGACAGAGGCTCCTCTGCAGACGCTTCACATGGACGTGTGGGGCCCAGCTCCCGTCCGTGGGCAGGGTCACGAGCGCTACTTTCTGTTGGTGGTTGACGACTACTCGCGTTACACCACAGTCCTCCCCTTGCGCAGCAAGGGTGCTGTCACTGAGGTGCTGATCGACTGGATCCGCGAGGCTCGTCTCCAGCTCAGGAAGAGCTTCGGCTCGGACTTTCCTGTTCTGCGTCTGCACTCGGACAGAGGCGGAGAGTTCTCCTCTGGCCTTCTGCGAGACTCCTGTCGTGCACGGGGGATCCGCCAGACCTTCACGCTTCCGGACTCTCCACAGCAAAATGGGATTGCTGAGCGCCGCATTGGCATGGTCATGGATGTCGCTCGTACGTCCATTAGGCAAGCGGCTGCCCCCCATTTTCTGTGGCCGTTTGCGGTGAGGTACGCGGCGCATCAGCTCAACCTTCACCCCCGGGTCTCTCGGCCCGCGATGTCCCCAGTCTTGCTGTGGACGGGGAAGGTTGGCGATGCGTCGGCGTTCCGTGTCTGGGGATCTCGGGCGTTTGTCCGCGACTTGTTTGCGGACAAGCTGTCCCCTCGTGCTGCTACCTGTGTCTTCCTTGGCTTCCCCACAGACGCTCCCGGGTGGCAGTTTTACCACCCCTCCTCTCGTCGTGTTCTGTCCTCCCAGGACGTCACGTTCGACGAGTCAGTCCCCTTCTACCGCCTCTTCCCCTACCGCACTCCTTCCCTCCCCCCTCCGCCGGACTTCCTTGTGCCGGTTCCCCCCCCGGTAGACCCCCTCCCCCCTCAGGTTCCTGCCCCCTCAGGTGTGTCCCAGGTAGACGCAGTTGACCCGGTCGAGGTTACTGGTGACTCTGGTGCTGCTGCGGGTGCTGGGCCTGGGGGTGCTAACTCTGGGGGTGCTGTGCGCCGGGGTGTCGAGCCTGGAGGTGCTGCTCCTGGGGGTGCTGAGCCTGGGGGTGCTGGGCCTGGGGGTGCTTCTGCGGAGGTTGCTGAGCCTGGGGGTGCTGAGCCGGGGGGTGCTGTGCCTGGAGCTGCTGAGCTAGGGGGTGCTGGGACTGGGGGTGCTGGGTCGGGAGCTGCTGAGCCTGGGGGTGCTGGGTCTGGACCTGCTGAGCCTGGGGATGCTGCGTCTGGAGCTGGTGAGCCTGGGGTTTCTCCTGCTGCTGCGTCTCACCGGGAGCCCCTCTCTCCACAGGAGCTGCGCGAGTGGTCTGCTCGCCGCTGGAGGCGTGCTGCTGGAGCTGGAGCTTCTTCGACCGTCGAGGGTGCTGGTGCTGCCGGTCCCGGAGCTGCTGGGCCTGCGGGTCCTACTGGAGCTGGAGCTGCTGAGGGTGTTGGTGCTGAGCCTATTGCTGTCTGTCCTGGCGGTGGTTCTGCTGCTGGTACTGCTGGAGGTCCTGCTGCTGGAGGTGTTGGTGGCGCTGGTGCTGTCTCTGAGGGTGCTGGTGGTGTCCCTGCTGAGTCTGGAGCTGCCGCGCGGCCTCGGCTGTACTTCGTTCCGCTCCTGCAGCAGGTTCTTG